CCCCAAAACCCCAAAACCCCAAAACCCCAAAACCCCACGAATGGGGAATTCTCCGACAATGAGGAAAATGTAACTAGACATAATTTGCAACTGAAAATATTTGTTTAGTATATATTTAACTTTCAAAGTTGTTTTTTTGTGTACTCCTCGTAGATGTCCATATTTCTTTTAAGAATATCTTCCAAAGGTCCAAGCACTCTTCTAAAAGTTTCTCTTTCCAAACTTACGACAATGAGGTCTTGCGACTAAAAATAGTTAATAATAACTGAATTAATTTACTGTAGCAATGATATTAGCTGCTCTTGCTTCGTTTGTAAGTAGTGCTCTCTCTCCGAAATAGTCACCTCTATTATATCCAAAAACTTGTTGTGCAGGTTGTCCTAATTTCAACACTTTTGTGGCAATAGCCTCACCCTCACTTATCAAGAAGAATTTATCGCCAATATCGCCTTCTCTAATAACAAAATCGCCCTTCTTATACTTCTCCTCCTTGAGTGCATCTGCAATCTTCGATCTTTCATAAGGATCCATTGAGGACAAGATCTTCACAGAGCTGAGGAAATTTTCATACTTCTCTCTTTTTCTTGCTGCTGCATCTTTGACAATATTGTTGAATGTGTCACGATCCAATTTATAAACAACTGCCTCTGTTTTAGCTTTAATAGTTGCAGCTCTCGGGGCGTTATATAAAAGTGCCAGCTCACCGAATCCTTCTCCAGGATGATACTCCTTCAGGAAAGTAGGCTCAGTGTTACCTTTAAACAGTTTTGTGCAAGTAAGTGTTCCCTACTCGACAACATACATACAGTCACCTTCATCTCCTTCCTTGATGACTAAATCTCCTTGGGATACTTTGATTTCTTCAATAGAGTCCACTACAATCTCAAACTCTTTCTCGTCCAAAGCATTGAACATGAATGCTTCCAGTAATCTTTTCTTGAGCTTGGTTTTAGTCTCTTAACTCTTTGGCACAACTTTTGGCACAAAATCGCCTTTTTTGTTCCACTCCCCGTAAACCTCTGCGCTAACTCCAGCTCTCTGGGCCTTAATATTTTTCTTCTTAGGTTGAATTTCATGCACCTCTTCGTCCTCATCTTCATCTTATGACTAGTCAGAGTGTGCATCCTCATGATCCTCAAGCTGATCCTTCAAGTACTCAACCTTTTTCTTTAGATTCTTAAGCTCATTAAGCTCATTATCATTGATTGGGTTTGGCACTTGACCTTTTGAAAGGTCAGTTAAGTAAGAGTAGATATATGGCACCTATGATAAAAACATTAAAATCAGTGTGAATAGCTACAGGGTCTTTTGGCTTGTCAGTGAGGAGAGCGGTAACTAGTCTAACTAGAATCTCCTTGGTAGCTTTATCGAATTAGATTTCCTCTTGGCTGCTCATTTTATGATTATTGCTTTTATTTTAATTATATTCTTTCAAATTAGTAATCATGATAAGATTGCTTTTAAAGGGGTTTTGGGGTTTTGGGGTTTTGGGG